AGCGTGGTGGTCGTGGTGGTGATGATGGCGGTAAATGGTGTTGGTCGTAATCGTCGCGGTGGATGTGGTTGCGGTCGCATCCATTTGTGGTGATCGTGGCGGCGGTAGTTTTGGCGCTGGCGGCGGTTGCGGCGGCTGTGGCGGCGGCTGGGGGGACCTGCTGGCCTATCGCCGGGCTGCGTTCAGCAGCATCGCTGAATGTGTAATGTTAGTGGGATTTGCAGATCTGCCGAGGTAGCCCAGCGGCCGCCTTCTTCTCGCCAAGAGGGCCGCAGCGTGGGCGACTTTCTTCTTCCCGAAGGCGATCAGCCTTTTTAAGCGGCCGTGGAGAGGGCGACGCGCGTGCGATCCGCCCCGTGGGCGTCCGCCGCGCTGGCGACGCACTCACCAAAGTGCCCCCTTGCGAGGGCGACGTGCGCGTTCGAGAGGGCGGCTGGCCTTTTCGGCGGCCGACGCACGGGCGACGAATGCGCGACGCACCTCCTGTCGCGAAGGGGGGGGGGGTCAGCACGCCGGTCGCTTTACTGGGCCTTAACAGCCTGAGCTACTGGAGCCACCTGCTGGGCTACGGGGGCCATTTTCTGAGCCACCCGAGCTTCTAGCGGACCTACGAGGGCCACCCGCAGAACTACGAGGACCAAACGCACAACCACGAGGGCCACAAACACGACTACGCGGACCTACGCGGACCTCCAGCTGAGCCACAAGAGGCACCCGGAGAGGTACCACGGCCAAATGCTGACCCACAATGGCCACCAGCGGAGCTACTCGTGCCACTCGCCGAAGGGCGCGCTGCGAGATCGATCGGCTTGAAGACAGGGAGATACCTTAATGGGCTCTAAGGCGTAATTGGATCCTACGATGCTGGTAGCAGGCGCTGGGATGTTCGGTCCAGCGCCACATCTATGAGCGCCGAGCCAGACAACCTCGAAACAATTGATGGGCATTCTTGGCGCCGCTTTGCGCTGCCTTCCAGAAGGGGCGGCCTAGTCTTTCCAGTGCCAGAAGCTGTACGGTATGGTAGCCGCAGAATGGCAACAAGGCGTAGCGAGCTTCTTCCTGATCCTGTGTGGCGACGAACGCGCATTCGGTGTGATATACAGTTGAATCGCAGACGCCTGAGTGAGGATGCGTATTGGGAATTATGTTTAAACCAAGACCAAACCGGTACCTCGCTACTGACACACTATGCGACCGAATGCCTGGGACGTAAGACGTCTTCAGCGCTGCGGACGAGGTGCGCCGTGTACATCGCAACGCGCAATGTGCGCCGTGCGCATCGTTATGCGCAAGGTACGCCGTCCCCCGCCTGAGCCACAGCATCTCTTGAGCGGCCCTGCCGCTCCCTACCCCCCTCTATTACTTGTTTTGGCCCTCAGGAGATAAGGTTTGATGGTGGCCTCCCCCCCTCTCCCGCTCTCTGGAATGGGTCCCCCCGTGGCGTCCGGGGGGCCCCGCTCGCGCGTCGGCCGGCCGCCTTTCGCGGGTCCCAGCGCGGGCGCGAGAGTGCATTTGGTGCGGCAGAAGCTGCTGCGAAGGAGAGGGGGGGAGGGCAGAGGGAGGCAGGGGGGGGAGGAACAGGGGAGGAGCAGGAGGAGGAGGAGGAGGATGCTGATGAGGAGAAGGAGGAGGACCAGTGTAAACCCAAGAGTCATTAACGATGTTGGAATTAACCCTCCTTCCAAGCTCCCTCCTCATAGGCCCCTACGACAGTGATTTTCCATTGATGGAACTGTCTCGTTGGAAGACATCCGTTTGAAGGTCCTGAAGCATGCCAGAACCATGTTCTCGGAATTTCAGCGCCACGCATCAACCTGATTGCTGCGCTTTTGTTGAATCGTGCCATGACGCCTTGTTTCGATTTCAACTCCGCGAAGCAACATAACTGATGCACCCGCGCAATCGTGAATCCTTCCAGAACACCATTTCTGGTACGTTCATCATGGGAACCCGTGAAACTCCTGAAACTTGATAAAACGAATTTGCGCGGAGCTAATGTGCGGGCCACATTTTGAAAAGAAGCCTTCGTGAAACTGTTGCAGTTTATTCACAACACATGTGCTTGGCGCTGAGGCGAGCGCACATTTTGAAAACCACCCGCCGTCAATCCGTGACATTCCGGCAATGTTTTTGAAACGGATGTGCGCGGCGCTAAGGCGAGAGCCACATTTTGAAAACCACCCGCCCTCAATCCGTGAAACCATGCAAATATCTAAATCGAGTGCGCGCGGCGTTGAGGCGGGAATCAAGTTTCTTCAATCCGTGAATTTCCCCCCAGTTGTTTGTCAAGAAAGCAACGGATGTGCGCGGCGCTAATGCGAAGGCCGCATTTTGAAAAGAAGCCTTCGTGAAGGTGTTGCAATTTTGTCACAACACATGTGCGTGGCGGGGAGGCGAGCGCCACATTTTGAAAACCACCCGCCGTCAATCCGTGCAATTCCGGCTATTTTTTGAAACGAATGTGCGCGGCGCTAAGGCGAGATCCACATTTTGAAAACCACCCGCCCTCAATCCGTGAAACCATTGCAAATATGTAAAACGAGTGCGGGCGGCGCTGAGGCGAGAGAATCACATTTTGAAAAAAACGACCGTTTTCAAGCCGTGGAATTCCCCGCATTATATATATGTGTATATATACACATAACGAATGTGCGCGGCGCTAAGGCTAAAACCACATTTTGAAAACGAACCGCTTTTGATATGTGAAACTGCTGTCGCATTTTAGTTTCAGGGTCATAGATGGTGAGGAAGTCTTACGCGAAACGCCCGGCCCGCCCTAAAAACTGGCCTCGGGGTGTGACAGGGAGGATTTCTCTGTAAGGGGGAGGAAAGGAAAACAAAGAGGATGAAGAGCAGGAGGAGGAGGAGGACGAGGAGGAAGCGGAGGAGGAGGAAGAGGAGGAGGACGAGGACGAGGACGAGGACGACGACGAGGAGGACAAGGACGAGGACGGGGACGAGGACGATAACGAGGCCGAAGAGGGGGAGGAGGAGGGAAAAGGAGGAGGGGGCGGAAGAAAAGGATGAGGAGGAAGGCAAATACTATACGAGGACGGAAACTACTATTACTACTACTACTACTGCTACTACTACTACTACTACTGCTACTACTACTACTACTACTACTACTACTACTACGATTACTACGACTACTACGGCTACTACGACTACGACTACTACTACTACTACTACCACTACTACTACTACGACTACTACTACTACTACTACTACTACGAGTACTACTACTACTACCACTACTACTACTACTACTACTACTACTACCACTACTACTACTACGACTACTACTACTACTACGACTACTACTACTACTACCACTACTACTACTACTACTACTACTACTACTACTACTACTACTACCACCTCTTCTACTACTACTACTACTGCTACTACGACTACTACTTCTAGTACTACTACTACTATCACCACGAATGATAACAACCATAAACCAACGCATCGTATTGGCAACAAACTAGAACGAATAAGGATAATATTCCGTCGGCGACAGCTATTACGAGTATTACTACTACTACTATTATTACTACTACTACGACTACTACGTCTACTTCTTCTACTACTACTACTACTATTATTTTTCTTACAGAGGAAAGTCATATTCCTAATCAGACTAAGGATACGTATAAGAACACGAAGGCGACTATTATTCAAACTTATGGTAATACTAGCAATAATTTTTACAACAACACATCACATACCACTATCACTACCAATGTTATTGCGACGCTGTTTTGAATTTTACACACACACACATATATATATATATATATATATATATATGCTCGCACCCCCCCAAGATCTATATTTTCGTGCCCTGTTCATGTCTTCCACTCATCTCTTCCTCATCCTCTTCTTTGCTCTCCATTGCCCTCCCGCTCCCAGGTGGCGAATTGTTCCAGTCAGATACGGGGCGGCATGTTCCAAGGGGCGACGTGCTCCAGATCACGCAGGGGCGACATGCTCCATCCAGAGACGGGGCGACAGGCTCCAAAGGGCGAAGCGCTCCAGATCACGCAAGGGCGAAATGCTCCAGCCAGAGACGGGGCGAAATGTTCCGGATGCATATGGGCGAACTGCTCCATCGAGAGACGGGGCGAAATACTCCATCCAGAGACGGGGCGAAAAAAGGCTCCAAGGGGCGAAACGCACCAGATGCATAGGGGCGAACTGCTCCATCCAGAGACGGGGCGAAATGCTCCATCCAGAGACGGGGCGAAAGGCTCCAAGGGGCGAAACGCTCCAGATACATGGGGGCGAACTGCTCCATCCAGAGACGGGGCGAAATGCTCCATCCAGAGACGGGGCGAAAGGCTCCAAGGGGCGAAGCGCTCCAGATCACACAGGAGCGAAATTCCCCAGTTCTGTGTTGCGTTGCGTTGGATTGCATTTGCATTGTTGCAGTAGAATGCTGCCCAGTACAATACGTGCACTCTCGACCCTCCCTTCCTCATCAATCGCATCCTCCTCGTCCTCCTCCTTCTCCTCCTCCTCCTTCCTCCTCCTCGTTTTCCCCCTCCCCATCCTCCTCCGTATTTTTTCCTCCTCCTCCTCTCCCTCCTCCTCCCCCTCCTCGTCCTTTTCCTCCTCCTCCTCCTCATCCTCCTCCCCCCTCCTTCTCCTCCTCGTCGTCGTCCTCCTCCTGTGCCTCCTCCTCCTCCCCGTCCTTCTCCTCATTCTCCTCTTCCTTCTCCTCCTCCTCCTCTTCCCTCCTCCTCCTCGTCCTCCCCCCCCTCCTCCTCCTCCTCCTCCCCCCCCCTCCTCCTGCCCCTCCTGTTCCTCCTCCGTCTTCCCCTCTACGCTTCCCCCCCCTCGCCCTCGCTTGCCTTCCACGCAACTTTTTCTTCATGTTGCAACGCGTTCTGGCCCGAGCCTGCTTCGGCGCAGAACTCGCGGCGCAGCTTCCACGAACCCTCGCGGCAGCAATGCCGATGATGCTCCGCCTCGCCTCCTGGCGCGCCGCCGAGGCGCAGCGCCCGCTCCTCGACAAGCCCAACGCCGACGTGACGGCGGCGGCGGCTAACTGGGGCGTCGCGCGCGACGGGGTAAGCGGAGTCGCGCCCCGCTTCAACCCTCAGGACCTCTCGTGGGGCCTCCGGAACTGCCTCCGCTTCTTACTCCGCCAGCGGTTCCACTGGGCGGGCGACGCGCAAGAGTTCGACGCCCAGGTGGTCCGCGAGATCGGCGGCGACGTGCGGAGCATGGCCGCGGACGCTCCTGCGGCGTGGACGGCGAGGCCCGAGCAAACAGGAACAATAACATACGCAAGCACCAAACGACAAACAAAACAGTTACGTAAACCACGGCAACGCAAACCACGAGGCTCTTGCAGCTCGCCTTCCAGACCGCCACGTTGTACGGCACCACCACGGTTGTTTTTTTTTTCTCTGTGTCTGGCGCCAAGATGGCCTACGAGAGCGTCGAGGTCATACTCACAGGCACCGATGATGATGTTCACGCCGCGGCCGGCCAGATGGTCAAGTGCGCGCAGCTGCGCGGCGCGCCCGAGCCCGACGACATCTCGATCGTGATCGGCGTCGCCGGGCGCGCGTGAGGCCCCGGATTTTCTCGACGAGCGCATTTGGACCGCCACAGACGCAAAAGGGGCCCGCGAACTAGATTGAGCAACCGTAGTTGATATTAAAAAAAGACACATCCTGGCCGCCTTCCGTGTTCGTGTGGTCGCGAGACCCTGGGCCCCTTCGGCAAAGCCGCCACTGTTGCAACCGGCGCGCGAACCTCGGCCGCCGGAGACCAAGATGAGAGCCGCGGGCTTCATAGAGCAGCCGTAGTTGATAAAAAACAAAATTCGTGCCGCCTTCCGCGTTTGCGTGGTCGCGAGACCTTAGGCCCTTTCGGCAAAGCCGCCGCAGTTGCAACCGACGCGCGCGCCTCGGCCGCCAGAGGCCAATCTGAGAGCCACGGGCTTCATAGAGCAGCCGTAGTTGATTATATATATATATATATATATATATGTATATATCTGTATATAAAACACATTCGTGCCGCCTTCCGTGTTTGCGTGGTCGCGAGACTTTGGGCTCCTTCGGCAAAGCCGCCATTGTTGCAACCGGCGCGCGTACCTCGGCCGCCAAAGACCAATGTCAGAGCCGCGGGCTTCATGGAGCAGCCGTAGTTGATAAAGAAAAAACGCATCCGCTAAGCGGGCGTCCGTGGGAATTGCGTCATTGCCGCGCTGTTAACACCGCCAGCGCGCGGCTTGCTGTTGCGTGCGCTTGCGCAGCAGCCACGCGCGCGCAGAAACCCTGAATTGTCGCCCAACGCTGCTATTTTCTAAGATTCCTAAGGCAACCGAAGGAAGGTGGCCACCAAACACTGCTATTATCTAAGATTTCTAAGATTTCTGCAACCACCCCAAGGCCCTGCGGAGCAGCCGCGCGCGCGCAGCAACCCAGAAAAGGTCGCCAAATTGTGCTAGTTTCTAAGATTCCGGAGGCAACCGAAGGAAGGTGGCCACCAGGCGTTGCTATTTCCCAAGAGTTCCAAGATCTCTAAGATTCCCACAGCCATCCCAAGGCCCTGCGGAGCAGCCGCGCGCACGCAGCAACCCAAAATTGTCGCCAAGCGTTGCTATTTTCTAAGATTCCGGAGGCAACCGAAGGAAGGTGGCCACCAAACACGGCTATTTTTTAAAAAAGATTTCTAAGATTTCTAAGACTTTCGCAACCTTTCAGGCCAACCTGGGGATGGTTGTGGAAATCTTAGAATTTTTAGAAATTTTGGAAAATAGCAGTGTTTGGTGGCCACCTTCCTTCGGTCGCTCGGTCGCCTTAGGAACCTTAGAAAATAGCAGCGTTTGGTGGCCATTCAGGGTTGCTGTGTGCGCGTGGCTGTTCTGCAAGGCCTTGGGATGGTTGCGGAACTCTTAGAAATCTTAGAAACCTTGAAAAATAACAGTGTTTGGTGGCCACCTTCCTTCGGTTGCCTTAGGAATCTTAGACAATAGAAGCGTTTGGTTGGCATTATTGGCCACCAACACAAACAACGCAAAGCTTCCTTAGAGGAACTTAGTCTTCAGACCCCATCAAAATATAGATCTTGTGTGTGGGGGGGGGGGGGGCATATATATATGTGTGTGTAAATATAAACATCACAACCATAGTACGAATAATCATCTGACGAATGCAACCAGCAATAACCATAAGAAGAGGAATGACTATTACCAGCCCGGGTCATAAGAAGAGGACCGATAAGCAATCTACCATATAATCATATTAGGACGCTGATGCGGAAAAACATCGATATTAGTAATACCAGTAACACGTATACTTGTACCACTGATAGCAATGCCAAGTGGATTAATAAGAGTATTCAGCAGGAACACTAATACAATTAGCAACCATAAGAATACCAATGATTCGACGACGAGTAATAGTAATACAACTGATATTGGGAGACTGTATGCGCTAATTGGAATTTCCGGTAAACATGATCATGGTAATACGAGAAATTGCTATAATACTAATATTGCCACCCAGAATAGCATTACTGATCGTAACAAGAAGAATTCCGCTGCTAATCAGTCCACTACTGTCACCAAGAAGAATAATCATCCCACTAATATGGAAATAACTAATGCCATTAAGATACGTGATGCCAATACGATGTGGCAGACTACTAGTACTACGACGAAGCAGTGAATGCGTAATATTGTTAACGCCAAGCGTATTACCAAGAAACAAAGACGACTACTAAATATAACAATACGTCTAGTATGCATAAACCATATAATAATAGCATATATCAGTACGGATACTAACCCTAATACGACAATACTAAGAATGCGGATAATAATGTGGAGGAGGACGGGGAAAGGGAAGAGGAGGAGGAGGAGGAGGAGGACGAGGAGGAGGAGGAAGAGGATGATTATGATGATGACGAGGACGAGGCGCAGGAGGAGCAGGAGAAGGAGGACGAGGAGGAGGAGGAGCAACAGCAGCAGCAGGAGGAGGAGAAGGAGGTGGAGGAGGAGGGGGAGGAGGAAGAGAAGGAGGAGGAGGAGGAGAAAATATGGGGGAGGATCTGATAGAGGAGGAGGAGAAGCAGGAGGAGAAGGAGGCGGAGGAGTGAGGAGGGAGGAGTGAGGAGGGAGGAGGGAGGAGGGAGGAAGGAGGAGTATGGCGGAGGAGGAGAAGGATTGCGGAGGAGAAATATGACGGAGGAGGACGACGACGGAGGACGGAGACGCTTCGAGTGTCGAGAGTTCCCACAGGCAGAGCCGAGGCCTTGCCATGTCTGTGAGCGGCTTACGGGCGCAGCGCAGGGTGTGATCCGCGCTTCCTGCCCCAGAGGTCGCGGTGCCTCGCGGACTGGGCGCCGGTGCTGCTGTCGTCTCGGATGCCCGACGCGGGCCTTCAGCATGTTCAGTGGTGTCGAATCCACTCGCGCTCTTGGCATCGCTGCTCGGCTGGTCGTCGACCAGGTAGACCGCGCCTCCGTTGGCGAGATTCAGTGAAGCATGTCTTTGATAGGTAGCTTTTGTTCCTCCTTCCCTCCCCCTCGTCTTCCTCCTCCCCCGCCCCCCCCTGCATTATTCTCACCACAGTTGTTGCTTTCATATTTTGTCGGTGTCACGTGACAAGAACCCCCCGCGCTTGCTCGTCAGGCTCTTCGGTTGTACTGTGCAGGATTTTCCATTAGCCGCTATCTTTGTGCCGCCTGCCCTGTAGGGGACCGCTCCTCCCGGAGCTGGCACGCAGGCCGTGGTCCCGTGAATCCACTCGCGCTGCAGTCGCCGCTTCCCCTCCCTCTCCCCTCCCTCTCCCCTCTCCCCTTCCTCTCCTCTCCCTCTCCTCTGCCTCTCCCCTCTTCCGCCTTTGCCCCAGTCCCTTCCTCATTCTGTCGATGTGGCACCCCCCCGCTTCGGTTGAACACAGGCAAGGCCCGACCTTCCGTGTTGATCGCAGAGACTCACAAGAGGCTGAACTCTTCGTGTAGGAACTCCGACCTGCCTCCAAGCGCCTGTCCTGTTCTAATTACCCTCTTCTTCCTCCGCAACCTCCACCACCTCCTTCTCGCACCCGTCCTCCAGGTACATTCTCGTGGAGGCCGGGTGTCGTACTGCGGCTACCTACGGCGTCATTCTGCTCGTCGTCCTGGCGGAAGCCCTGGCGAGGCTGGACATGTCGCTGAAGGTGTGGCAGGCGCGCCTCCGCTGGGGTCTCTTCAAAGACACATCGTGCTCATCCCCCTTCTCAGCCGTCTCCTCCTCTCCCTTCCTTGCACTCTTCCCCATGTTGTCCCTGCTTTATTCGCGATTCGGGCCCTCAAGGCTTTTCCCGACACCCGACTGCGAATAGAGATCGATTCAACGCAGTGGAAAGGGACGGGAGCGACGGGCAGGACGTCAGACGTGGCGCGAGCGCACCTGACTTGCCGTCCCCCACCCTTCGCCTCCCCCCGCCCTCGAGGATTTTCTTGCGGTGGTGGTAGTCCAGAAGAATGTTCTGTGAGGGCCCTCCACTCGAAACTGACGTTTTTTTGGCTCGCGCATCCGTGCTTGGTGTCAGTGGGTGCGATCTGGAGGGGTGATTCCTCGCGCTCGGGGGGTCGGGATGACGCGAGTTCGCAGGACAATTCCTTCGAATTAGTAAGTCCCGCATTGCAAGCTGTGTTGCTGATGTTGCCTTAAGCTTGCGTCCATGGGCTGCAGCATCAGAGTGCATCTTCCCAAGGTTGCCAGGCGCCATGGCTCTCGTCAGCGGGCCGCCAGCATCAGGTCAGTGCATCTCGCTGGGACACTGTATGTAGCATGATCAACGGCCTGAGTTGCCACATAGGTCTCCACGTGACCTTCTAGGTCGCCTCCACACCGGCCTCCTCAGTGAATGAAGGTCTGATGCCCTTCGCTACTATGAACAGGCCCGGCCTACCTGCCCTCCTGCCAAACTTTCTCCCTTCTTCTGGACTTCCCCCAGAGGAGAAGAAGGAGGAGGAGGAGGAGGAGGAGGAAGAGGAGGAGGAGGAGGAGGAGGACGAGGAGGACGAGGAGGACGAGGAGGAGGACGAGGAGGAGGATAAGGAGGAGGATAGAGTGCAGCCAATCCCCCCTCACCCGCACCCATCGGCACCCCTCCCTTGTGCATTCTCCTTGTGTCTTTCCCTCACGACCCCCCACAAGTTGCGGACGATCCAGTTCCTCCTCGCCTACGGCCCGATGATCAGCTGCATCGCCGCCTACCACTGGATCTCGACCCGGCAGGAGGAGGAGCAGGAGGAGGGGGACCAGGAGTAGGGGGAGCAGGAGCAGGAGAGCAGGAGGAGGAGGAGGAGGAGGAGGAGGAGGAGGAGGAGGAGGAGGAGGAGGAAGAGGGGGAGCAGGAAGAGGAGGAAGAGGAGGAGCAAGAGGAGCAGGAGGAGGAGGAGGAGGAGGAGCAGGAGGAGGAGGAGGAGGAGGAGGAGGAGGAGGGAGGAGGAGGAGGAGAAGGAGGAGGGGATTTTGTAAGGGCGGCGGCGCCCTCCTTCGATTAGTGGCGAAGCGTCCTGGCTTGCCTATACGCAGGTCCACGAAATGCTGTTCTAAGAGCTGTTTGTGGGCTACACGAAATGTCAGAAACTGGATCGTGTATATTGCCAGGGTCGGTGACGACGTCGTGGTGGTGTGGTGTATACTTTTTTCCCGTTTCCCCAGGGAAACAACGCAACATGTATACACCAGGATCCCGTAAACACCAAGATCCGTTTTCCTGTGCGAATGTCGGTGCGGGGCCGGAAAAAGCGTCGGTGTATAGAGTTCAGCTCCGAACATGTTCTTAGAACATGTTTTCAGAGGCCAGCAACATATGTACACGTACGCGGTTAGCTTCCCCTGGAGTGCGTGTCAACGCGGACGTTCGTGCAGGCAAGACCTCGGAGGGCGTACATGTACATATGTCGTTGCTCGCCCATGTTTATGTTCTCAGAACATGGTGCTCTTCTTAGAACATAGAACTGGGTTCTAAGCACATATCGTGGTATGCCTATAGGAATGCTGTGACGATCGGTCCCTGCTCAACTCTTCTGGGCCCTCGTCCTCCTTGCCCTCCTCCCCGTCTTCCTGGAGGACAGGGACAGGGGGAACAAGCAGTGATATTCAGTCGGCGCGCCTAGGAATGACGCGCCTCTGCATCTAGGGTGCCCTCCTGTCCTTGCCTCTGCGGCCCGTCCTGTTGCCGTTCTCACGTGTCGTTCGCCGCCCCCCAAAGTCCCAGTTTCGGCCTCCAAGGGTCTTGCGTCCTTAACACCCGTCCTTAATACTCGTTCTGATTGTAAATGCAAGAACTCTAAGGTCTGCGCGCTGCGCGGATTTCTCGGATCGGCGCTGGACCCCTTCCTGCGGATTGTCCCTCGAGTTTTTATGTTTCTGTCTTTGTTTGTCCCCCGACAGGAGGACGAGCAGGAGGAGGGCAAGCAAGTTTGGGATCGAGGGCAGGGAGGAGCCTCCTCGTTCTCGATGCTTCCTGATTCTCCTCTTCCTGAGTCCTCCTCGATCCTCCTCGACACTCCTCGCCCCCTTCCCGCCATTTACTCGGCACCTGGGGCGCGCCACGGGGATCCAGGTGGAACCTTCACTACATGGGGTGCTGTCATTCGTTTTGGGGTGGCTTGGATACGTGTTTTGGTCCAACTTTGGAAGCGGCGGGAGGCAAGAAGCTCAGAGCAGAGGCCCTGGTGGATGGTGGAGGTCAGCGACAGCTCTACAGGTGGCTCATCTGTGGGCCTCTGAGTCGTCGGCCGGTCTGTCCATCCACCATGCAGGTGGATGGGAGATGATGGCGCAAGGCATGGGCAGTGGCCTTCCAGCTGCTGGCCAACCAATTTGGCCGGTGGCTAGGGCCAGTGGCTTCACGTCGGGCCTGCCCTGTGGTGAGGGCCTGGCGCGCGATGGCTCAGGTAGAGCTGCTACTAACTGAGACCTGAGTGTAGTGGAAAAGCTAGCCGAGCGAAAGTGACTGACAGCGGAGAGCAGGCGGGAGAGGCGTGGCTGGGCGAGTCGTTGCTGGTATGTTGTGCGGCATCGTGACGAGGGTGGTGCGCTTGGCCCTGCGACGGACTCGACCAGATTGGACTTGGTGCTGATCTGGGTTGGTCCATGCAATATCTCATCCTAACTTAGACAGGGTTTTTGCCGACTATGCCGAACGCCGATTGGGGTATAAACCAGCTTCCGGTCAGATGTTGTGTCATTGTGCGCGCCGCAGTCCAGGCTTCGCCGCGGGCACGGGAGGGCGCCTTGCGACGACTCAGATCCGCGACTCGCTCTTGCTCCAGCCGTGGGGGTAAACCAGGGCACCCGCGTCGCCACTGGAGCGTTCTCGTCGAGCCCTGGCAGCCGGGACAGGGGCTGCGCAGTGCTCACGGAACTGCGCGTTGTGCTGGCCTCTCGTAGATCGTGGGCCGCTCCTTTCCCAGGAGGCCTCGCGAGGCCTCGCGAGGCCTTCCCCCTTTTTCTTCATCCCCTGGCGAGAACGGGCGCGGCTGGGGAGTGGGGGGAGGGTCACGTCGCGATTCGCGCGGGCGCCGTCTGGGAGTTCTTTGGAATGGCTCATTCCCACGCGGCGCCAGCGTGAATCGTGACGTGGCTAGGGGTGGGGAGGAAGGGGTGGCGGGGTTGCGGGGCCGGGTCACGGGCGTGATCGCGAATCTTGCAAACATGGGTTTCGGAGGTTTTGCTTTTTGAGGTCGTTTTTGTTGTTTCTTGGAAGGGTTGGCGCCCACTGCCCTGGGCGAGAAGCCGCCCACTGTCACCCAGGCTCCGGGCCCCCGATCCTGCACGCCCAGGAGCCTCTCCAACTTCGAGAGCGCCCGCCTGGCGGAGGCGGTCTCTCCGTTTCCGCCAGGGGAGGTGGGGGCGAGGAGGTGTTCGACAGCAAGTCGTGGGAGCCTTGTATAGAAGAAGACCAACCTCATAAACATACACTCTTGGCGCTCCGCGCGGATTTCTTGGATCCGCGCCTGGGCCCCCCCAGCGGCGCCTCTGGCGCCGTCCCTGGCGCGCGGAGCGCGCCAGGGAGGGGGGTCCAGCGCGAATCCAAGAGATCCGCGCGGAGCGCCAAAAGTTTGTCCTCGTGTGTCTTTTCCTTCTTTTATCGCATGCCCTCGTAATTTCGTTTTTTGAATGCGTTCGCGTGGTACTCAATGCGGCAGCACCGATGCAGCGTCGATCAGCGTTGATTTAGCGTCGATTAGCGTCGCTGGCCAAGAGTCAGCAAGATGAGTTGCTACAGAAGAGGTGGGGCAGGCCTGGCCAGCCAGACGTTGGAGAGGTGCGCCTGCAGTTCTCTCCAACGCCCTGAAGAGCGTTTTATCCGCCAGGTTGACGTTGACCCCGTCACACCTTCCCGGTAACCATCCTTGGATCGCATTTCGAGGGCCATGTGTGTTTTTTCATTGCGGAGGCGGTGATCCCGAGCCCTGATCAAGCCATCCAGTTGTGGTCCATCAAAGCGGCCGGTATCCGAACCCCACTTTTTCCACAGTCTGCACGGCCTGTCATGGAAGGTCATCCGAGTAGTTTGACATTCCTGACGCTTCGCGTATTCCTATCAGGTGACCTTCCGCCGCGGCTTCCGCCATTGCCCCCTTCGGTGCTCCTCGTGTACGTCGAGCCCCTGCACGCTGCCCTCTGCGGACTCATCTCGGTCCTCTTCCCGGTCGTTGTCCTGGACACCAATTACTCTGCCATTTTGGCATGCATTCGGGCCAGCCTCCTCCTGGTCTTCGACGGCTTCGGCGTGTTCGGCCTGTTCACAGCGTCGGTTTCGCCTTCTGAGCCGCAGCGTAGCTCGCCCCTGCGCGCTTAGGGTTAATTTAGTCCGCTGCTCGTCAGCCGCGTGTCGACTTGACGCTGGGCGATTTGCCGCTATGGTCTCGATCAACAAGTATCCCTATCAGCCCTTTCAGAAACAGTTTGGCAGGCGAGTTGAAGCGTTGTTGTGAGAAGTTTTCGGGGGTCTCTTGGAGCTATCTTGGGGCTCTCAGGAGGTCCTCTTGGGGCCCTCTTGGGGCCCTGTTGGGGCTCTCTTGAGGCCATCTTAGGGCCCTCTTTGGGCCCTTGGGGCGAGCCGTCTTGGCCCCCGTATCTCAAGGGGGGGTCCTCAACTCAGGTCCCCCCGTGGCAGTCTCAACAGTTGCCTTTTGGGGCCTTTTTCGGGGCGCTTTTGGGGTGCTCTCGGGCGTTATTGGGGCCCTCTTGGGGCTCTCTTGGGCCCCTCTTGGGGCCATCTGGAGGTGCGGAAGCCCAGCTGAAACGAACAGGCCAAAACGCAAACAACATGGATTTTCACGAGGTTTGGAGGCCATTTTGGCTTCTTCTTTTGGGGGGGTCTTTGGGGGGCCCAGAGGGCACTTGAAACCATCTTGGGGCTGTCTTGGGCCGCTTTCGATGTATATGGGAGGCTATTTTGAGCCATCTTCAGCTCTCTTGAGCCACCGTGGAGGCCATTTTGGGCTCCCGGAGGCCCTCTTGGAACCATCTTGGGCCATATTGAGCGCTCTAATGCCTCGCGCCCCCCCTTTCCGGGCCCAGGGTGGGGGGCACGGGGAGGGGCAAACCCGAACATAGGACGAGTTGCTACCAACTTGGGCATATTTTAACCATGTCGGTCCACATCCGGACCAACTACGACCATTTGTTCAGGTTTAGAACGTTGTCGGCGCGTTTCTTCAAGGTTCATTACAACGGCTTCTTGGGCGTTCGTTAGAGGCTCCTTAGAGGCTTCTTTAGAGACTCCTTAGAGGTTTCCTTAGAGGCTCCTTAGGGGCATTCTTAGAAACTCCTGAAAAGCTCCTCGGAGGCTTCCGTAGGAGCTCCGTAGAGGTTTCCTTAGATGCTTCCGTTGGGGTTTGTTTAAAAAGCTCCTTAAACGCCTCTTAGGGGCTTCCCGAGAAGTTCCTTAGGGGCTTCCGTAGGAGCTCCTCAGAGGTTTCGTTGGAGATTTCTTTAGAGGCTTCCTTGGGAGCTCATTAGTGGCTTCCTTAGAAGCTCCTCAGGGTCTCCCTGAGAGGCTTCCTTACAGACATCATCAGAAGCTTCTTGGAGGCTTCCTTATAGGCTTCCTTATAGGCATCCGCCGTAGAGGTTCGTTAGAGGCTTCCCTAGAGGTTTTTGGAGGCTTCCGTAGAGGCATTTTCGAGGCTTCCCTCGGGGTTCTTTGGGGCTTCCTTAGAGGTTCTTTAGAGGTTTCCTTAAAGGCTCTTCGCATTCCTGAAGGATTCCTGCGGTCTTTGGACTCCGACGGATCCGTGCGGGTTTCTTCCAATTGAAGCGCTTCGTGCCCTCCAGGGCTTTGGGGGGCCCCGAACCCATAAAGGGGGGGAGTGTGGCCGAACAGTTCACTTTGCATTCTGCCGCCGCCGCTGCGCCCCCGATCGCTGTCGCTTATTTGCGCACTGCCCATGCAATAATTACCTGTCGCATTCACAAAGGCTGGTGAGCGAACGCTGTCGCACGACCCCGGGCCGATGTTCCCAACATTGACGTCGCAGATGCACCGCTGACGCCGTCGACGCACCGCCGATGCAGCTGCGATGCATCGCTCTTCGGCGCGATCTTCCGGTGTTACGAAAAGCAGCTTCCAGATCAGAGTCAGAGTTTTCGTACGATCTGTAAAAAAAAACCTGGATTCCACGGCAGATTGTCGAGGTCTTATCAGATGTGTAGTTTCTTCTCTTCCTCTTTCTGTTCATTTCGGCAGCAGCCAGTTCTTTCGTTTTTTTTTTGTTTGTTTTTCCTCTGCAGCTGACTGTATATTCTGACGCCCTAAACTGTGGGGGCGTTGGTTAAAAACTGTGCCGTGGAGGCTGCAGGCCCTGGAGGATTCCTTATCTTATGAGGGCGGCGGTGATATCGATGGCCAACCCACGCTTGGAGCTCCACCGTGCTGCCAGGGAGTTGAGGACGAGGAGTGCGGCACGAGGGGGATGAGGATGAGGAGAAGGAGGAAACAGAGGAGGAGGAGGAGGAGGAGGAGGAGGAGGAGGAGGAGGGCAGAGGCAGGAGAGGAGGAGGGAACTATCGGCCGATGACATAGATGATGCTACGTCGGGCTTTCGAAATGCGGTGCCGTGGGAGGTGTGTGTGTGTGTGGCTATGTTTTGCGAATGTAGGTTGTTGTGTTAGATGTAGGTTGTTGTTTAGAGGTGATATGTGCTGTTGTGAGTTGCTGTTGCAAAAAAAAAAACAGCACAGCTCCCAGATCACAACAAATGAACTGGTGCCAATTCCAACCGGGGCACCCATGTTGACTCCCAGAATGAGTGTGTACCCTTTCCACGTTCATTTGATGTCTGGATCGTCTGGACATTCTCGACACAAAGAGTCCCATTGTAGGCCCGAAGTGGCTGGTTGTACTTGGTCCCAGTTGTTTTTTTGGGGAGGGGGCGGTTGAGAAGTGTCCCAGTCATTTGTATTTGGTCCCAGTTGGTTGGGATTGGTCCCACATGCGGGTAAACCCCTCCCCCGAGCAGGGTTAGGAGGGGTTACGGAAAGCGAGAAGGCAAATTTCGTCAAACCACCTAAGCCCAGGAGGGCTGGTGGGATTAACTGGAGATAGATAATTATGGGGAGGGATGATGAGAAGGAACATGAGGAGAGGGGAGATAAAGAGGACCAGGAGCAACATCCGAAGAAGGATGTAACAGAGTGGCGAGCAGGAGGGATGATGAGGATCACCCGAAGGAAGAAGAGGGTAATGAGGAGCAGCAGGAGGAGGAGGAGGAGGAGGAGGAGGAGGAGGAGGAGGAGCAGGAGCGGCAGGAGGACGAGGATGAGGGAGTGGAGGTGGAGGAGGATGAGGACTGGATGAGGAGGGTGATGGAGAGGATGGTCACGGGAAGTAGGGCAGGATAAGGAACATGATGTGAATTGAGAATATTGGGGCCGCGGGGCCTTGCGGGGTGTTCTCCCAGGGGCTGGTCATATCCGCGTTCGCGGCGCACGGAATCTTGCTCGGGCTCATCGTGATGTTCTGCCGCATCCAGCCGCAGAACAACGGCACCCTCTTGCCCCATGCGTTCCGATCGGCGCCAAGGGGACAACATGCACATGAGTCGATGCTGTAGTATCAAAACCTATATGGCGAACAAGTCCAGGCCAGACTGCAACGCAAATCATTCTACTTCGATTCCTAACACACGCGTAACAAATGTTGACAGCTCGGCTCAGGTGGCTGTTCCTCGAGCGATCCAATTGTGTGGCAATCACCCGCGAAACCATACCTCACCGCCCCCTTACTCGCCCCCGTACGTGTTTTCTCCACCCCCTTCGGCCAGGAAGGCTTCGCCTGCGCTTTCATGGTATTTGCTGCCTTGTATGAAAACCCCCGCCCTTCCGCCAGGCGCGCTTCTCTGGCCTTTCTCCATCCAGGGGAAGGAATGCCGGGTGACGACAACGATGACCACGATTATGTCAACCACGACGACGACGACAATGGCGATCATGACCATGGTGACGATTAGGAGGAAGCGGGGGCTGAGGAGGCGGAGGAGGAGGAGGAGGAGGAAGAGGAGGAGGAGGATGATACCAAGGAGGAGATGACGACCCGAGCAATTTGACCTGAACTCCCACGGCCCTCATCCTGGGTCCCGACTCTGAAGGCGGCCAGACGTCGGCGCTGCCCTTTCCATTCGCTCTGCGTGCTCCCACCCAGGCGCCTCCGCTGCGTGCCTTGCCTCCTGATGCTGCTGCTCCTCCTCCACCTCCTCGTGCCATCCCGCCCAGGGTTGAGGCCAAGCCCAGATGAGCAGCTCGCTGCACGACCATCACTTTGGACAACCTCTCTTGGAGTAGGCGCCCTCTCGCCTCTTGCGGGCTCCATGAGTCTTGCTGGCCCCCAGGTCTCGAAAAAGCGATGGCCTGATGATCTGCGACATCCGTTTACGTAGCACCCCGCAGTTGCGGATAAGAGTGAGGGGGCGGCGAGGATGTCGGCAGTCTACGAGGCTGTGAAGGAGCCCGCCGCAGGCGCCTAACTTTTACAAATTATGCAGTGAGTCCGCCGCAGGCGTCGAGTTTTTCGTCGAAGCAATGTGGGTGGGTCGCGGGATGGGTCGCGTGTGGGTCGCGGGTGGCTCGCGGGTTGGATCGCGGGCCGGGTCGCGGGTGGATCGCGGGTGGATCGCGTGTGGGTCGCGGGTGGATCGCGAGCGGGTCGCGGGTGGGTCGCGGGTGGGTCGCGGGCCGGGTTGCGAGGGGGACGGCGACAACAAACAAGAACAACATCAGCAGCAACATAAGAGCACCAACAACACCAACAACAGCAGCAACAGTAACCACGACAACAAGAGCAACAACAGCAATAGCAACCTAGCAAACAACAAACAGCAACACCAACAACACCGACAACACCAACAACACCAACACCAACAATACCAACACCAACACCAACAGCAACAGCAGCAACAACAATAAGCATTTTAAGACTGTTCGCTCTTACTGGCACGCGTGTCTTGCATTTCGTTTACCCCAGCCCTCGATGCTCGCCCACTTCGTCTTCGATCGCACCCCCATTTCGGGTGGAAGCTCTTCCTTGTCGGCCACTGACTGAAGTGCGAGGAAGTCTCGAGCTAGAGCGCCGTTCCTGAGCTCGGGGGCCACCCTGGCCAGGGGCTCTCGGAATACAAATTGAGACATATCAAACAAAAACCCTTGTCGCCGTGTCTGGGCCTCCACCAACTTGCGTGAATAATGAGAAGTCTCGAGCGAGAGCGCCAGTCTTGAGTTCGGGGGCCTTCTTGGCCAGGGCCTCTGGGAATTCATTTCAAGGAAGTATCGAACGAGAGCCCTTGTCGTCTTGTCGTCGTTGTTACGTGTCCACACCAATGTGACTGAATCGCGAGCGAGGGCGCCGTTTCTGAGTTCGGGGGCCTTCTTGGCCAGGGTCTCTCGGAACAAATCGTGAGGATGTATCGAGCAGGAGCCCTTGTCGTCGTGGCTGGGCCTCTGACGACTTGACTGGCTTGCGAGGAAGTCTCGGGCGAGAGCGTCGTTCCTGAGTTCGGGGGCCTCTTTGGCCAGGGTGTCTCGGGGTAAATCGTGAGGAAGTATCGAGCGGGAGCCGTTGTCGTTGTAGCTGGGCCTCCAAGGGCACACATTTACAATCAGGCCCGCGCTCGAGCGGGACCCTCGTTGTCAAAGGAAATGCCGCCGGCGTCGAGGCGAGAGCGCGCGGAACCCGTTCCAGAGATCAGCAATAATTATCTAACTATTCTCTAGAAATGATTACTCGACAAACAACGCCAAACAACACCAATAACACCACCACCACTAGCAACAACAACAACATCACCAACAGCAGCAACAACACCACCAACAACAAACAACACCACCAACAACAACAAAAACAACACCAATACCAACACCTTCAACTGCAGCAACACTAACAACAGTATCAGTACCAACACCACTAACAACGCCAACAACAGCAACACCAACCGCAGCAGCACTAACAACACCAACAGTGACAACACAAACACCACCACCACCAACAACAGCAGCAACAACAATATCAACACCAGCACCAACACCAACACCAAAACCAACAACACCAATAACAACAAACACAATAACAATCTGCGCCGCATAACCTCACTTCAGCCACGAACTCAGTGACAATGAATGACCGTTCGGTCCATCACTCTGATACGTGTATCAAGTTGTATTGAAAACACTGTTAAGTACTGCCAGATGCTTGGGGAACACGTGATGGCAAGTTTTGCCAGTAGATAGTGTGAGCATATGCTACAGTTCTCTGAACGACTTTCTCTCTCCCCTCCGGCCGCATCCGTCTATGCTCAAGTCTTTTCGAGGCGGCGACGCCTGAGGTGAATGATATTTACCGCCCTCACTGCCTTCTGGGAGGCCGGGAAGATTGCCTGGCCAGCGCTCTCTCCTCTGGCATCGAGTGCTCTGACGTGTGCGGTGCAGTCAAGTTACTTCGGCTCCCCGTACGCACTGTGTCTTCTCACGTTCGCTCTCGGGCTGGCGGTCGGTGCTGCGCTGAACTCCTGTGCTTAGCGACGTGATGCCGGAGCTGGCCCGCCGATACATGCAGCCAGGTCGAGAGGTGATCGTCCGCTACGACACAGAGCGCCGCCAGTGGCATCGACGGACGCTGATAGAGCCGTGCGACGCAGTGGTGCTGGCCCGCGTGATGGGCGAACCAGCAGACGACCCCTCCGCTCTCATCATGTGGGTGTGGACTCCGACTGGGGACATCTACCTGGAGGAGCTGAGTGTGCCGCCGCTCCTCGGCATCGCGCCCTGCGACCTCGAGGGGACGCCTCTGCGGGAGGCCTGCCTGGGTCCGCCGTCTCATTGGGGTCGGCTATTCGAGTCTGGACAGGTCCTTCGGCCAGCGCAGTACGAGAGAGCTCGAGCAGTCTGTCGAGCACAGAATCGTGGTCAAGCGGTTCCACCTCCGGACGCAGAGCCTCTGTTGGACGACGTCGGTGAGTCTGACGACGGGGGTGGCGCCCTCGCGCCTGTGGGCGCGGCAGCTGTCGGCGGTACTGTGACGCCGCAGGCACCACCCGCCTCCGCCCCGGAGGACGTCAGGATTCTCAAGATCGCTGACGTTCTCGGAGTCACGTTCGGGGGAGGCCGCCTTCCTGCCCCAGACGGCCGCTGGGTCGACGTCAGCTCCGCCAACCGTCTGGCCCTCGACTCGCCGAGCGGGGATGCATGGGTCGTGGGGCCGGAGTTCGGCGTAATGCTGAAGGACGGCAAGCTGCGGCTCATCGCGGACCGCGGGGCGGGGCCGGCCGACCAGGGCGACGACGGCGGGGAGACGGAACTCGACGCACGCATCCTCGAAGTTTCACGAGACCGGCTGGGCAAGCGTTTCAAGGATTTCAAGGTCGCGGTCGACCTGGTCACGGAGACGGCGTGGGACTCATGGCCCTTGACAGGGCCGCGGACCACCAAGTGGTGTTTGCAGTTTATTTTGCAGACAAACGGCCACCCGAGGGCTCGGCATTCATGGTGGAAGTCGACATGCTCGCTCTCCATAGCTGATCCTGGAGTTTCAGATCACGAGACGGCCATGAAGGCGGTGGAGTACGCTCTGACCTACGACCAAGTCAACGCCGCGGAGCTATCGTTCGTAGAGCTCCTCCTGCGGCGGGCCCAGCTGACCGAGTACCGCTACAAGCACAAGCTGTTGAGGACAGACGGCCAGGTTGACGCTCTCCTGCAGGGCGAATTCCTGTACCTCGGGGTCGGAGAGACTCGTGGGCAGTTGATGCTTTGTCCACTGTTGGAGGAGTTTGTGGCGTCGGAGCTCCACCGCGAGAGCGCGATAGCTAAGGAGTCGAGGAAGCTGAACGAGGAGAGGAGGCTGCAGGCAGGTCAGGCTTCTCACGTGCGTCGACCCCTCGTAGATGCTGCGGCTGGTCCTCTGACGTTCCCGGACGGCCCCGGAGGCAAGGGCAAGAACAGGGCTGAGCGAGCTGCCGAGCGAGCCGCTGCCAAGGCGCACGCGAAGGGCCTGGGCAAGGCCACCGCGGCAGCCAAGGCGGGGGCTGGAGGCGCTTGAGCGGCCAGGCGGCTGGGGTCCCGTCCAGCCGCCGAAAGCAGGGATGACTGTCAGCCGCGAACTTCTACCCCTCGCGCTGCCGTGTCCTCGTGAAGACCATTTTTCCTCCCCAGCCTCTGGGTGCCGATCTGTGCGACGCCGCGTGCACGTTCGTCGGCATTCGCAGGCTTTCTTAATTCGGCGGTGGAGTGCTTGAATGAGATGTACGGCTGCCCCGTTCATGCTCCACCTGGTCTGGGGGAATCACTCGCTCGGCGCCGGAGTGTCGAGATCCTCGCCGACGTCTATCGGGCCATGCCTCCGCCTCCCTGCACCGCCGCGCAAGCCCTCAGCGTGCTTGGCGGCAGCCGCCCGGGCTACGCCGACAGCGACCCCAGGCGCAACTTCCAGCCTGACTTAGTCTCCTTGCCCTCGGTGGGCGGCCTGGCGGACGGCGAGCAGGTGCTGTCCAGCCAGGCTCTTGAACGCTGGAGGTCTGTATCGACTACCTTGCGGCCAGAGTCCTCTGGCAGCTCAACTTCGGCTAATGCCCTAATTCGACCGTGCAGCGACCCTTCTCTGGTCAAGGACCAGGTGCGTTATAGTAACTTCGTCGTGCAAATGCTGGAGGCCGGTCTGGTCACCATACGTGCTGAGCACCCAGCTACGGTTGGCATCTTCTTCGTGGTGAAGAAGGACGGGCGCTTGCGCATGATTCTGGGCACCAGAGCGGTCAACGACCTCTTCGACGAACCGGCGCACTCGCGCCTACCAACTCCTGCGTCGTGGGCCTCCGTCGAGATGGGGCTCACGGACGACCTCATTCTGTCCCAGATGGACGTTGACAACGCCTTCTACCGCTGCGAAGCGCCGCCCGGCGTCTCGGACCTTTTTGCGCTGCCTCGGGTTTCTGCTCGGCACCTTCATCATGCCAACGGCAAGTTGGCAACTAGGCTTGGCGTGACCGCGACTGGCTACGTCGCGCCTCGCCTCGAAGTCATGGCCATGGGCTGGTCTTGGGCTCTTTACTTCTGCCAGGCTATGGCGACGGCCAGCGCGCTCCGCGCGGGCGTGCCTACGGAGGCCTTCCTGCTTGACAAGAAGCGCGCGCTCGACATTGCGGGCGACAAGTTCGGGACTGCGATCTACGTCGTCAACGCGGGGGTCATCGGCACCTGCGACGACGTCGTCAGGGACATGGCCAAGAAGCTATGCGCCCAGCTCGCGGCCGACGGGCTCCAGTGCAAGGAGCTCGAGCACGGCTTGCCCGAGGCCCAGTTCACGGGCATGAAGCTCGATCGGGCCTCAGGACGTATTCCAGTCGGGCACCGCCGTTGGTGGAAGGTGCGCCTGGCCATTGCGGCCATCCTCGAGGACGGGTTCGTCTCGGGGAAGATATTGCGTCGTATCGTAGGGCACTTCGCGTGGTCGGCTATCTTGAGACGGTGCCTACTCAGTATCCCGCACTCGATCTATCGCTTCATAGAGGTCGCTGGCGACTCGCGCGTCAAGATCTGGCCTGCGGTCGCCCGAGAGCTCCGTTGGATGATGGTGCTGCTGCCGCTGGCCTACACGGACAGCAAGAGGCCCTGGAGCACGCAGGTCGTTGCGACGGACTCCGAGGGGGCCAACGTCACGGACGACGGGGGGTTCGGCATCGTGGTGAAGCCCTTCGACCTCCAGACTGTGAGAGAGTGGGGCTGGCAGAGCGAGCGCTGGAGGTTCGCAGTCGAGGACGCCGTGCAGGCCCGCCGCCGCGCCTTGGCTTCCGATGGGGGGCCGTCGGGTGCGCAGCGGCCATGCGAGGGGTCTCTGCCATATGAGCTCCCTCCCGAGCTCATGGGCATCCGGCGCGAGAGCATCGGGCCCTTCTCTAGCTGGGGATTGAAGGTTCGTGGCCGCTGGCGAGTGGCCGAGAAAATCACGTCATCAGAAGGAAGGGCAACGGTCATCGCTGCCAGAAATCGTCTTCGACCGGTTCGTCACTTCTCCCTTCGCCACCTTTTCCTCGGAGACAATTTGGGGTTCGTCTTGGCGCAGGGGAAGGGCAGGGCGAGCAGCATGGTCGTCAATAGACATTGTCGTCAACTAGCAGCATTGTCGATGGCATCGGATACGGACTTCGTCTCGAGATGGATTCCTTTCAGAGTTCAATCCCTCCGACGCCGCCTCCCGGATCAAGACGGGGCCGCCCGTGCGGGGCGGCGGCGGGCCGCGGGATGCTCGTCCACTTTGGGCAGCCCGAGGCCCGGAAGTGCGCGCCTCGCTCCAGGCTGCTGTCGAGGCGCTCGCCCGAGCCAGCAGCGACCCAGACGCCCCGCCCGAGTTCGACGACGGGCTCTGGCGTCCAGGCGGCGGGCCTTACACGCTGGGACCATCAAGCGCTTGGCGCGATTGGGTTGACGACGGGTACCTCGAGGACTTCGACTCGGATAGCGACGACTCAGAGGATGCTGCTCTCTCGGGCGCAGCCTCTGCCTGCGAGGAGACCTTTGACGGAGGTCAGCCACCAGCCAGCCGCCCAGCAGCGGAGGCAACGTGCTCGCCGCCGTCAGCTGGCCCACCAGTTTCGGCCAGTACTTCTTGGAGGTGAACAAGGTGACACGTCCTTCTGCCTTGATGTACGACAGGTACTTTCGGGACTTCCAGACCTGGGCCAGCAACAACGGCCTGCCGCTGAACGCCAGCGAGGACATCTCCTTCGCGATGCTCGAGTACCTGGAGGACCTCTACTTCCAGGGCCACAACCACGACTCGGGAGAGAAGGTGATCGCGGCGCTAGAGTACAGGAGCCCAGGCATCCGCAGCGCGATGGTCCTCAGGCGGGCCAAGATCGCGCTGAAGGGCTTCAGGAGGCTGGCTCCTGGTCTCAGTCGGGCGCCCTTGCCGTGGATCGGTCTGTGCGCCCTAGTGGGCGCAGCTCTGCACATCAACGAGCTGGAGTTCGCGCAGTGCCTGGTGTTCCTGTTTCGGACGTACCTGAGGCCCAGCGAGTGCCTGGGGTTGCGGGTGGCTCAGCTCGTTCCTCCGCTCCCCGGCTCGGGGACCAAGTTCTGGGCGCTGCTGCTGGCGCCCGAGGAAGAGGCCATCCCCACGAGGACCAAGGAGTTCGACGAGAGCATCCTGTCGGACAGTCCCGAGCTGGTTTGCCTCTACCCACGCTTCTCAACCTTGAAGAAGCGCTCAGGCCAGGACAAAGCGTGGTCCTTCGATTATCGGAAGTTCTCGAGCCTGTTCAAGCGCGTGTCAGAGGCTGCAGGTCTGGGCCAGGCCAACCTCCACCCGTGCGGCGCGGGGGGGCCATCGACGACGCGCTCGGGCAGACCCGCCCCCTGGAGGAGATCATGCGCCGCGGCCGCTGGGCCGCGGACACATCAGTCAAGAGGTGCGAGAAGCATGCGCGAGTTCTGAAGTCGCTGGAGTGCCTGCCCAAGCCAGTGCGGGACTACGGCCTGGCCATCGAGAGCCACCTGCACCAGCTGCTGGCCCTGCAGGCCAAGCCACCTCCGCCACCCGGGCTGGGCCGGAAGCGACTGCGCGGGAAGGGATGAGACGGCCTTTTCACGGAGGCCGTGGGGGCCGCAACGCGGGGTTGGATCAACACTTGCCTGCTCATCAAATTCGAGGCAGACTTCGGAAAGTTTTCCAGCGTGCGGCCAATCTTGGCCATGACAATCGCGTGTATCTAGATTTGTTCTCGGGCGCAGGTGCCGTTGCTGAACGCCTGAACTCGATGAAAGAAAGTAGCATCAGTTTTGACTCTCTCAATGGACCAGAGTATGACCTCACCAACCCAGTTGTTGTCAATGTGATCTTGGGCTGGATCCAGTCCGGCGTGGTAAAAGGTATCTTCGCAGCCTTCCCATGCAGCATCTGGACTGTTCAAGCAGATCCGCAGACCTTGGTGCCCTTGCGGGATCCCGAACCCGACTCCCGCGGAGGCTGCTAGACTGGAGACGGGTAATCAGACGCTGAAGGTCACATGTAGGCTTGTGAGGGCTTGTATCCGTGCGCGTGTCTCTGTTTTGCTCGAGAATCTTCGCGCCTCGAAAGCGTGGCGCGAAGTGCGAATGTCGGCCTTGATGGGCCACCCCTCTTGTAAGCAGCTTGTGATCGACCAGTGCGGTTTCGGAGCCCGCTGGCGTAAACGTACTCGCTTCGTAGGCTGGCATGTCCCCATGCTGCGTCATGAACACTTGCTTCGTAAAGGCCACGGGTGCTGTTCTTTTAGTCTGAAACCACACATCATACTTCGGGGTAAGGCTCCGGGGTCAGGTGTCAACTTAACGGCCCTCGCTGCCTCCTACCCTAAGAGGTTATCGGCTGCCATTGCGATCTGGTTCGTGAGATCCGTTGAAGCCCTCCGTGGTGCCCGTTTAAATCGAATAGTTGGGTAAGGTTTCGCCGCAGGCGGCTCCAGAGCACAGTCTGGGTCTGGGGGTTTGAAGTTTCGTGCCGGCCTTGCGGGCCGCCTTGGTTATGGCCGAGGACCTCGGCCCCAGTCTAGCTCGAGCTGTCCTGAGAGATTCGCTATGCATCTCAGTCACACACATATTGAAAAGTGAACGGTTGCGATTGCTGTGAATACAGGGCTGTCGCCCGCTTCCGTCTGGCCTGGAGGGTGAGAGATGCTACAGTTCTCTGAACGTCTTTCTCTCTCCCCTCCGGCCGCATCCGTCTATGCTCAAGTCTTTCCTCCCGCCGTCCCCGCCTATCGCCATTATGGTGAAAGGGGGTTTGAAGTTTCGTGCCAGCCCTGCGGGCCGCCTTGGTTATGGCCGAGGACCTCGGCCCCAGTCTAGCTCGAGCTGTCCTGAGAGATTCGCTATGCATCTCAGTCACACACAGATTGAAAAGTGAACGGTTGCGACTGCTGTGAATACAGGGCTGTCGCCCGCTTCCGTCTGGCCTAGAGGGTGAGAGATGTTCATAGCGCCGTTCGGATTCTTTTGCTCCTTGCCCCTCCCCTGCAGCACTTCACAAGGATGCCGCCCCCGACCGGCGCAGAGGCCGCCGCCGCTGTTGTTTTACACCTCGGCGCCACGTTGCCCGCCTGCAGCGCCCCCGCCGGCGTGCACTTTGCAGGTCAGCCGTTTCCTCCTTCTCCTGATATGTCTTCTCTTTCTCATCCGACTTCTTTCCCTCCCGTCCCGCTTCCTTCTGCGCTCCCACCTCCCATACAGCTGGCACGAATGTCCCTCCCTGTTCCCGACGGCACGAAACACGAAAGCCGTAGCTAGGTACTGAATCAATAAGAAGATGAGGAGGATGAGGAGGATGAGGAGGTGGAGGAGGAGGTGGAGGAGGAGGAGGTTGAGGAGGAGGTGGAGGAGGAATGAGGAGTGAGGAGTTTGCAGTCCTCTCCTCCTCCTCGCCCTCCTCCTCGTCCTTGTCCCCCTCCTCTCCCCGAGGTGCTCTACTTGGACGTGTTCGGGTGGGTGAAGCAGACCGGCGCGGCAGAGGGCCGGGCGGATATCTACGGAGGCGCGGCGCCCCCCCCCCGCGCCCTCGCTTAAGTTCGCTCTGCTCCAGCTTGCCTTCTCCTCCCTGCTCCTCCCTGCGCCTCCCTGCTTCTCCCTGCTCCTCCTCGCGCCTTCCCTCCTCTCTTTCTCTCTGCCCAGCCCGAGCCTGCCGCTCTTCATCCTGCGCCTTCTTCTCCTACCGGTTCTTCTCCTCCCCCGCTCCTTCCCCTCTTTTCCCTCCTGCGTTTCTCCCGCTTGCTCGTCCTCATGCTGCTCCTCCCTCCCATCCAGGTTCTCTGCAAGGTTCTTTGATGACGATCCGTCGTGAAGGTCATGATGATGAATGTGATGCGGAACATGGCGACAATCGCGGTGGTGGTGGTGGTGGTGGTGGTGGTGATGGCGACGACGATGATAATGATGATGACGTTGATGATGATGGTGGTACTGCTGCTGATGATGCTGATGCTGATGATGCTGATGACGACGATGATAATGTTGATAATGGTGCTGCTGATTATGATGATGCTGCTCATGCTGCTGCTGCTGCTGATGATGATGATGATGGTGATGGGGATGATGATGATGATAGTGATGATCGTGATGATGATGCTGATGATGATGATGATGGGACTCGTGCTGATGACGCTGCTGCTGATTGTGATGTTGCTGCCGTTGCTGATTATGATGCTGATGCTGATAATCATACGGGTGATGATGCTGATGATGCTAATGATGATGGTGGTGGTGGTGGTGATGATGAGCATGATGATGGTGTGGTTGCTGCTGCAGATGATGCTGACGATGCTGCTGCTCTTGATGATGATGGGAATGATGATGATGATGATGATGATGATGATGATGGCGATGATGCTGATGATGATGATTCTGATTCATGATGAGGACGACGATGATGACTACGATGATGATGATGACGATGATGATGATGACTATGATGATGACGACTACGATGGTGACGATGATGATGCTGTTGTTAATGATGATGATGATGATGATGATGCTGATTGTGTTGATGATGGTATTGATGATGCTGCTGATGACGATGATGTCGATGATGATGATGATGACGATTATGATGAGGATTATGATGCTTATGCAGCTGCTGCTGCTGCTGCTGCTGCTGATGATGATGATGATGATGATGATGATGATGGTGTTGGTGCTGCTGCTTCTGATGATGATGCTGACGATGATGTTGACGATGATGATGATGACGATGCTGATGATGATGACGATGATGCTGTTGATGATGATGATTATGATGATAAGGCTAATGATGATGACAATGCTGATGCTGATTCCGATTGTGATAGATGGGCACATTCGTTAAATATAGGTTCAGCACTTAGAGGGCGAGTCTAGTTCTGACCGTGATTCGCCCTGTGGCTCAAGGGATAAACATCTGCCTGCTCCTCCTGCTGCCACAGTTGGTAGCGGAGCGCGGTCTCGGCAGGTGGCCATGGGCAGCGGCGGGCAGCCTTGATCGGTGCGCCCGGCCCCTTGCTCGCGAGCCACTGCCGCGGCTGCGCTCAGCGCACTGGGAAGTGTGGGGATCCACGGCGATGCCCGACGACGGAGTGACGGGCGAGAAAGGCACCACCCCTGGCGACGGTGAGCGAGGCGGCGGGAGCGCAGGCAGCGCGGCGCCTCCAGGACCGACACAGCCAGGAGTGACCCCTGAGCTCTTGGAGCTGGTGAAGAAGTTAAGTCGCCACGACTATGAGGGAAAGCCAGTCCCAGGAGTCTCAGGCAGCAGGACGACAGACATGGAGTGGCTGGAACGAGCCCAGCGTCGACCCGTGGTGCGCTCAGGACCCATGGTCACCGGCCCGGCCAGGCTGCGGGACCCAGGAGTCTCAGGCAGCCGGCTCGGCAGGCGACGGCTCGAACCAGCAGCAGGATCAGAAGAACGGCGAGGCAGCTTGGCGCTGGACCGGCGAGTGGGCTGCGGGCAACCAGAGCGCCGGCGGCTGGGGTGCCGGCGACTGGCGAGCAGCCGACCAGAGCTGGCCAGGCCAGCAGTGGAGTGGCGGCGGATGGCAGCGCGGTGACTACTCGGACCCGCCCGCCTTCCCGGGCTGGGCGCACTACCGAGGGTGGCGCAAGGCCGTCCGCCGCTGGGACAAGAACACCGACGTCGCGGTCTGGCGCCGGGCCGAGCGCTTCCTCAAGCTCTTCGACTGGACAATGCAGTCCAAGTTTGACGATGTTCCCGAGGCGGATCTCTCAGGTCCGGGCTGGCTGGACATCCTCATAGGGCGCATGGACATCATGGCCGGAGAACGTGAAGGAGATGATCTCCGTCGCGCCGGAAGGAAGGCTCTCTTCGAGGCCACCCGCGAGGCCAAGGAGACTCTCACAGCCTACGCGTGCCGGCGCGAGGCCCAGCTGCTGGAGGCAGAGGGGCACGACCTTTGGATGTCACCCAAGCTCAAAGGACTATTTCTAGAAGAAGGTGCAGCGCTCTCAGCCCAGGGCGCCCAGAACCTTCGTACACTCACGCAAGGACGACTGGACTACGACAGCGTGGCGTGGGCACTGAGACAGATGGACGCCTACGGATCAGAACGGTTGCTACCAGGGGCTCGCGGAGCGAGCGCCAACCTGGCTTCCAGTACTGAGGGCTTCGGCCCGGGCGTTGACGTAGGACCCAGTGGCAGTGCAGCTCACTCCTTCCCTTCCGCTCCGGTCGACGGTGGTGAGGGTGGTTACGACCAGGAGTCCGACGGCGAGATCGAGTCCTACGACTACTACGACGAGGGCGAGGGATACGACGATGACCTCGACGAGGCGGCACTCCTGGCCGAGATAGACGATCTCAACCTCACGGAGGACCAGGTCGACGGCGCCCTGGTCATGCTCGCCAACGACCGGTCTTGGAAGCAGAATATGGAGCTCAAGAGGGCCGCCAAGCGCGACAGGGAGTACTTCGGAGGCAAAGCCGGCGGCGATCGTGTCCAGCCTCCACCTCGGGCTCATCCTGCCGGGCGAGGCCGGAAAGAGACCCGGGGCGAGGAAAGGGACAAGGTCGCGGCCGCGGGTTCAAGCCGAAGTTGTCGCTTCAGCAGCTGATGAAGGTCACGAGGTGCAAGAATTGCGACAAGAAAGGCCACTGGAGCAGGGGGTGCCCGGATCCCCCCAGAGACCGGACGAGTGCCCCCTCGGGGCGCAAGGTGCTCAACGGCTACTCGTTCGAGGGGTGCACGACCGACTCCAACGACTGGCGCAGCCTGTCCTGCCCCAGCTGGGAGGAGGCCGAGGCTGAGCTCGGCTCCAGCGACGTCTACCTGGTCGCCAGGTCAACGCAGGGGCTTGTAGACCCTGGCGCCGGCAGCGACCTTGTCGGACTGGAGGCGCTGAATCGAGAGTCGCAGGCTCTGGCTGGTCTCGGGATGTGTTTTGAAGTCATTCCCAGGCAGCATCGCAAGCCTAGGGCGGCGCACGGAGTGGGAGGTGCCGCCACTGTGCTTGCCTCGATCCTTTTTCCGATGTGCCTAGGAGGAGCCGTCGGTATCGTTGAGACCACGGTGCTCGAGGACAATGTTCCTCACATCCTCAGCGTCAATTTGCTCGAGTTCTTGGGTGCAGTGATTGACTTTCCGAAGAATGAGATGAGTTTGGACACCCCAGAGCCCAAGGTCACTTTGACTCGTCTAGGGTCCGGGCACCGCGTGGCCGAGATAGTACGTGCAGTCTCGGGGCCGTGGGGGGTCCCAGCCTCGGCCCTGAACAAGTACCCGTTTCTGTCACCCTCATCTTTTCAGCTTGGAGATCGGCAGGCACCGAAGATGCTGGCAGACGGATCAGTGCAGCAGTACATCATCCTTCTCGTCATCATCTTAGCAAGGCACCCAGGGCGTTTCAGGAGATCAAGGGCCAGGACCAGGATCAGAGCGAGCCAGGACTTCGGGAACTCTCAGAAGATCGTAGGTGCGTTCCTGGCCACGGGGTTCCTGGGGATCTACATGGTGCTCGCCCGGGTCGTTGAGAGGATCGGGGATCACATCCAGCCGCGGGCTCAGCGAGCTTGTTCAGACCAGGTCCCGGGGTCTCTCAGACAAGCTAAGGTGAAGGGGGCCGAGGACTACGACACCGGGAAAGGGGGCCTCGGAGCTCTCGAAGCCATCCAAGGCAAGAGGTCCGTAGCTACTTTAGGCTCAAGCCTGCGCGATCAGCTTTCAGCACTTTGCCTCCGAACCCGGAGGCTTTCTTCACAGTCAGCAGCGGCACTCAGCCGCCATGAGGATGGCGCCGGTGATGAAGACCTTGGTCCTCCTCTGGATGCCGACCAGGGCGGCCGCCGGAAAGAAGAAGGAGCCAGGAGCGAAGCAGGCTACCGAGGAGTTCCTCGCACGCCGCAGTTGGCACTCGCGGGCATCAGCTCGGACAGCGATCAGCCAGCAGATCAGGGCATGCCGCAGCCGCTCCCACCGCCTGGGCCATCCACCCAGGGGCCACTTGGACCGCAGGGCCAGTTCCAGGGTCCGGTGTGGTGGAATGCAGCAGCAGCGGCAGCCCAGTGGCCACCTGCACCTCCAGCGGCGCCGCCAACAGCACCAGTGGCACCGACGATGACGCCAGGCACGGCGGCGGCAGTCGGCAACCCGAGCCGAGACATCACCGAGCAGCCACTTCCCCCACCGCCGATAGCAGGAGCTCCAGTCGCTCCGATGACGGTGGACGGAGGGGCGGCCGCAGCCTCGGCATCATCGACTCAGACCGGGCAGCTCACAGGTCCAGCAGCAGGCAAGCCACCTCCCAAGCCGTTTCCCAAGGTGAGTCCGAACGAGTGTCCTCGCCCGCCCAGCGAGGTGCGCTACTGCGGGAACCATCGCGGGAGTGGGAGCAAGTGCACTCGCTGCGGAGAGCGACTGACGTGGATTCAGGCGGGGATCGGGCCAGCTGCGCCACCAGCACAGCCCTCAGCTGCGCAAGCAGCCCGGGCGGCAGCGTCCTCGGCGGCGCGCGCAGCGGAGATGCTCCAGAACGACCCAGCGTTCC